TTCCGGAAAAAATGTCCCATATAGGACACCTCCTACACGTGTGTACTCCATGTCCTGTTCTCTGTGCATAGATTACTGTCCTGCTTGGGGGGAAAAGTAATATTTATTTCAGTAAGGAAATCTCCGCACAAATGTGAATAGACATCAAATGGCACTTCCATATTTGTATTATTTAGTAAAACACTGGGTTTCATAATTAGGGTYAGTTCCTCATCTGATGTGTGGTGTGCTGTTACCTGCATTGTGATGACTTATGACCTTCCATATGCTGGTAGCTAGTCAATCTGTGCCCGAGGAACTATTTCACAAACTCAGAATACAATGTATGGTCGGGAAGGAAGATGCCAGAATGAACCCCACTCCTCCCTGTGCAGGAACTGCCCCTCCCCATTTTGCTCCTTCACTCAGCAAACACTTTCTGAGTGCTCACCGAGTCTCAGGCTCCACATAAGGGACACAGGACCCATGTGGCCCTGCTGCACACAGCCTGCTGTCTGGGAAGGGAGAGTCAAGCAACATATTGGCACAAATCACTGTGATAGTGCAGGAAATGAGGAAGGGGCTGTGGCAAAGCCTAACAGGAGGGGACCTAGGTTGGAAGGCTCCCCTGAAGAATGGCATTTAAATGAGACTTAAGGGCAGTGAGGGCCTTCTGGACAGAAAGCCTGACCAGGGAGACGGCTCGGGATAGTGGAAGATGTGGAAGGCAGCGACTCACTGACATGAGGGGTAGGGGGAGGCAGCAGATGAAGGTGGCGGTGCTGACCCCAGGATGAGGCTGCAGCAGGTAGGCCCCTCGGCATGGGCCTTGCAGGGCAAACTTCTAAATTCAGATTTTATTCAAGGTGACAAAACTACCATTATGTGGAAGTCTGAAGGGAGGGATTAATTTATCTAATTCTTCACTTCAGTTTTTGAGAAAACTCTGATTCTCTACAGTCTTTTTTTTTTTAATATTTTTTTTTAGTTGTCAATGGATTTTTTTACTTTATTTATTTATTTTTATGTGGTACCGGGATTGAACCCAGGGCCTCATACATGCCAAGCGAGTGCTCTACCACGGAGCCACAACCCTAGGCCTATCTACAACCTTTTAAAAGACCAAACACTACTTAATAAAATGAAGGAAAAACACTGAAATGTTGACAGCGTTATCTTTAGAAGGTGAGACACCAGGGTTTTGATAGCTTACTGATATTTTAGAATACATTGCTGTCTTTTGTTTTTAATAAAGAAGCATTCACTACTTTTAAACTTAGAAAAAAACTCATCGAACAAATACAAATAAATGGGAATTCATATTTCATTTGCCACTGATATGAATGTGTTTATGTGCTACGTATGTTCTATAGCTGTTGATTGAAATGTAAAATAAAGTGGTCTAAAATAAATTATCAGGGGGTTTACCACAGTTTACCTTTAAAAAAAATATTTTCAGTAAGGGTGAGATTTTTCTAAATGGAATTTATTTATCAAAATTGTCATCACTACTATATGTCAGTTTAACACCCTGTGTGTAGGACGTTGCTCCAAAGACTGACAGATACCCTGAAGTTCACACGGTGGGCCTTGGTTTTCTCTAATTCTAGCTTGTCCCTGAACTCACCCCTATTCAAGAAGTAACTTACGAATACAGTCTTAGGCTAAACTAGCTACCCTTGAAAGAAGAGAGATGAGATAAAGCACAGCCTTCCTCTTTCAGTTCTCTTACTTCCCTTCTCTGGTCACCAGCAAATGCATGTTTTTAATTCTTTGTGGCGAAAGTTCACCTCACCCTTAACAAAAAGTGGGCCAACTTCTCTCCACCCTTTTAACAGATTAATCAAATATGCAGCATGTGTTAATTAACTTTATAGGGTTAAACTTGGCAACTGGCTGGAAATGAAGACACCTTTAATTCAAAATACTGGATATGACACTTCCCTAAACCTGGCTGTTTTATTCTACAAGATTATGAGACACTGTCGATAGAGTTTAGAGACATGGTCCCTGAGCTTGAAGAACTTCAATTTAAAAAGGAAACATACAACTCAGAAACAGAAACCCCTGCATTAGTTGTATGTAAAAGGAAACAAAAAGAAAAAATAATTGTCCAAGGGCAGAGTTGAACAACGAAGGTTTGGTCTTTGTCAATGAGGAAATTTTGGAAATTCTGTGTGTGTATAATTTAATATGATGGTGTTCATCCTTTTCTTGTGAGGGAGGAAGATGGTGGGACAAGAAGGGAGGATGGCAGAGAAGGGGAGCGTAGAAGGGAAAGCAGAAGGTGGGGGTGCACTCCGTCTGCTCTTTAACCAGAACATGCCATTTGGTCATGTTCTACATGTCACCTCATTTTGAAAACCGTTTCTCAATTTAAAAGTTTTCAAAGTCTGAAAACCTACTGTGATGTCTATAACCAGGCTGGCAGTGGCTTACTGAGTCTCTGCTACTGTCTAGGGTCTAGGCTAAGCATGCTCCATATTTCATTTAAATAACCCTGACCTCTGCCTCCTGCCTGCAGATGTGAGCATTCTGCTCCAACAAGTGCTCCTTGCCATTGCCACCCAGCGCAGCGCCCTCACCTGATGCTCACAGACCTGGGGCTGCCTGAACTTGGGTAGGAATCCTCAGAACTCTGAGCTAAATAACCCTTTTATCTTTATTAAAAGATAACAAGCAAATAAATAATTCCTGGAAAAACCACACGAGGCAGCTCTTCTTCCCCTTTCAGAAGAAGAAAGCAAGGTTCTGAAAGGGAAAGTAATTTTCATCATACACAGGCAATTAAGGAGCAGGGCTAGGATTCAGACTCAAGTTTGTCTGCTCCAAGAGCTGTCCTTTCACCCACCAGGCTACACTCGGCTCTCTACCTGTGTTTAAGGCTCAATGTGGGCACGTTCACAGGCACTTAAAATGCAGAAAAGTGCTTCAAAACCTGGGTACATGGAAAGACAACAGAATTCACAAAGATGTGTTTTTGGTGGTGCCCACTGACTAGGGTGTTGCTTTAATGAAGGAAGTTTTAACAGCCTGAGAAACAAGCTTTGGTGACAAAGGATGAAGAATAGCTCTTCCAAGAGGACAGACTGGGCAAAAGCTCACTGCAGGCTGAAGCATGGTGGCACATGCCTGCAATCCCAGCAGCTCAGGAGGCTGAGGCAGGAGGATTTCAGGTTCAAAGCCAGCCTCAGCAACTTATCGAGGTCTGAAGCAACTTACTGAGACCCGTTTCAAAATAAAAACATAATTAAAAAGGGCTTGAAATGTGGCTCAGTGGTTGTGTCCCTAGGTTCAATCCTTGGTACAAAAAATAAATAAATAAATAAATAAATAAGAAAGCTCAGAGCAGATGAATATAGCTTTGGGTGGAAATTGCTGGTAGGGGCAGGAAATCTTTCCTTGGCCTCCTCATAACAAAGATATTTTCATTAAAGAATGTTTTGAAACTGAAAAATAATTACAGCAGCCAAAACAAAAGTCAAGGGAGTTGCTGCTGGGATCTTAAGGTTGACATGGGCCTGACAGGGACATCGATAGCAACAGAACAAGTGGGCAGTCAGCCTTGAGAACATCACTGGAAAAAAGGAAGAGACGGTACATCCAGAGAGAAGGAGAGCCAGTGGATAAAGTCAAGCTCCTGGATTTGTCTGAATCTCTGAATCACAGTTTACCATGGCTGTTTGAATCTCGTCAGATGAACCTCCCTTCCAGGAAAGTAGAACTGAGTGTTTTTCCTCCTTTAAATGGTGAAATTCTTCCAGGTTCTTTTTTTGAACCATTATCTCTTCCAGTAAGTTGTCAAAATATATGATTTTTAACTTTAAAGAAAAACAGGACTGAAATGTGTCAAGTCCCTGGAAACAGTCTAAAACTCAATTGAGTTTATACAGAAAAACACACTGTAAAAATCCTAAAACCATCTGGCCACAGAGATCTCAGTTTCTCTGACAACACCACTGGAGCTGTGGGAGGGTGAGTCTTGTAATTACCAGATGGAAAACCAGCCAGAACAAACCAGAACACACAGGTTACAAATCAACACATCTGAGTACCTGTCCCAAGGAAGTTCAAGAGCCATGTCATCTCCCAAGGGTCACAGTGGACTTCAGAGGAGACTCAGGAAAAGCACTTGTCCCTGGGATGTCCACTGCAAATCAAACCAAGCTTAAGACTACCATGGTGGCAGGGTATGGGGGAGGCGAAGGTGAGTAAGTGAGTGGGTGGGTGGGAGTTCATTTAAAGGCAAATGGACACATCAAATAATGGCTCTTTGTCTCTGTTTTGTGTTGTCCACGAACAGTTATTAAGTTTCAAAGTGCGAAATGTTCTCCATTGGATATCTGAAATATTCAATAGTCAAAACTGGGTACAGACCAGGCAGGAATGAGAAAGGAAGTAGAATCTGAACACTCCCAGGGAGATGGCAGGCTCATGAAGGAAGCAGGACAAACCAGAGTTGTTTGTAGAACCTGTGGTCACACTGCTGAGATTTCCAAGGAGAGAAGAGACTGCCCTTTACAAAAGCAAGACACGCATATGCATATGGTGGCACAACAAGAATCCACGCTAGGAGTGTGATAAATACACATGTGTAGCAAAAAGTGAAGCTCACAATTGTTTGAGTGCCCTGAAAAGTATTTGCGAAGTTTTAATCCTTTGTCGGTGTCTTCAATAGATAAATATCCAATGGCTAAATTTCTCACCAGRTGCCCTTCCTTAAAGGCCTCTTCAGAACCAGCATCAACCTGAGCTCTGTATTTGCCAGTCCCACTGCTTATGGAATGTTTCTACTTCCGGTTTGGTTTTAGGTGGGAAGACGGCTGAGAAGCACAGTCTTGCACTTGGGGAATGAATGAATAGAGGCAACTGGGAGGAGGTAGGTTGGTCATGCCGGAAGGGGATGGGGGCAGAGGCTAGATGAGCCTCCAAGTGGGCTGGGAGGTAAAAGCTGCAGCAGATGCACACACCACCTGCTTAGTTGGTACTCTCAGTGGGAAATAAAGAGGGGGGTGACATACCTGAAATTTCTGGAAGTGTGGGCTTGTCTTTTTTCCAGAAGTTCCCATCACAAACAAGAAGTCTGGGGTGAGCACAAAGGGCACTCTCTCTTTATTAATGCCCAGGAAACTTTTATAATTCCCAAGAATGTGCCCAAAGTCAATATGAAATAGGTTTCCTTAAAAGAAAAAGAATATCTGACATTATTACACCAGCATACATGCTTGTAATAACACTTCACTTCTTGAGATAATTTTTAAGTGGCCTGAAAATGAGCTATCTTGGGTGAAAGCATCTGTTACATGTGTTACTAGTCTGTCGTATTTTTGGTCTTAGCAGGTGTGTGAAAGTAGTAACCACAAAGTGTTCTTTGAACCAAATATGTTTGTTCTTGATATCTTTCTGGTGTTCTTTAGATGACAAACGGCACTAAAAAGTTAAAAATTATCACCTCARAATTATTCTTAGAAATCAAAACTCTCTGGCTAATATGTCACCATTATACTTAAAACTCCCCTAAGCCCTTCATGTAACTCAGGATAGCCTGATGTTGTACTCTGACTTGTACTTCCAAGCCCCACAATAGAAATAACTCATTTTGAAACTTCTTTGGGTCAATATTTACCACCACACCTTCTCTACATCACTTCTTCTCATTGGTCCTTTATCATTTCTATAGTCCAAAAATGTATTGCCTATTTTGTTTTATTCCGATCCTCACAGGGAGTAAGCAATTTGTTCCCCTCTCATGCTTTTTTCAGACTCTACTCTGAAATTGGTTCAAATCACATGTAGAAAAGTCTCATGGTGTGGTGGCCACGACTGGGCACTGTTAGACTGGACAGTGAACTGGCAAGGTGGGGTGAGTTAGGCAGACAAAATGTTTCACTTTTTTTTCCGTTTTTAGTACTGAGGATTGAACACAGGGGTGCTTAACCACTGAGCCATATTCCTAGTCTTTTTTATTTWTTTTTTTTAAGTTTTTGATACTGGAGATTGAACTCAGGGGCACGCGACCACTGATCCACATYSCCAGTCCTATTTTGTATTTTATTTAGAGACAGGGTCTCACTGAGTTGCTTAGCGCCTTGGTTTTTTTTTTGTTTTGTTTTGTTTTTTGTTTTTTGTTTTTTTTGCTGAGGCTGGCTTTGAGCTTGAGATCCTCCCGCCTCAGTCTCCTGAGTTGCTGGGATTACAGGTGTCTGTCACTGCCCCTAGCACATTTCAGATTTGAGGGTATCTCTGAGATTTTTTTTCCCCTCTTTTACTGTTTCTCTGAAATAGCTGATACTGTTGATCACCCCTACCTTCATTAGTTCCTGAGATATGCCCTACTCTACTTTTCTAGCTCTAATGGCCTCTTCCTCCTTTACTCAGTCCTCTGCCCTCAAGGTGGGTGGTCTCTGTAGAGTGATCACAGCACTAGAGTCCCTACACAATAATAACTTCACACTCTGTGCTCTGGCCTTGAACTCCCTTCAAAAATTTCTCTGCGATGGGAGGGTGGGGGAATGGGGTGGCTGTGTTTAATGAGGACAGCGTTTCAGACGGGGAAGATGAAAAAATTCTGAAGATGGACGTCAGTGATGCTTGCACAGCGATGTGAATGTGCTCAGTGTCCACTGAACTGCACACTTAAATGGTTAGAATAGAGAATTTCGTTATATGTGTTTTGCCACAATAAGTTATTCTGAAATAGATAAACTCACCTGTTTCTGAGATCATAATATTGTCATTGTGTCTGTCGCCTATTCCAAGAACAAAGGTTGCCACACAGTAGCCGGCACAGGAATAAACAAATCTCTCCACTGCTGCCTGAAACTAATTAAAATGCATCAGAATATTAATTGTCTTCTAACTACAAAGAGCAGCATGAATCTATTACAGATGATTTCCAGAAAGACACTGTTCTGGGAACCATTTTTAGAGAGCAAGTTACGTGTGCCTGATTTCATTAGCATTATATCTACCAAGCGCAAATTTTCACATTGCTCTGCTTATGTTTTAGGTGAAGATTCAATACATCACAACAGCACGAGGAGGACACATGAGTCAAAGGGCAACAGAAATTTAATCAAAGCGTTTGCTTCCTCTGCATGCATCACTTGCTCACAAGAATGTGGAACCCATAGTAATTTCTTCTCCATCAGTGAACATGTTTTGCTTGTGACCATTTACAAGTTTGCATGGGTTCACAAATCCACATGTATAACAGATTAATAAGTACTGCTAATTATATTTCCTCCCCAAATGACTGCTAACCATGCAAATGAGAAGTGCTAATCCTGTGCGGTAGAACTTTAGATGACAGCCAAACAGCCCAACCACACAGCTTGTGAAGGATTCAGCATATGCACTTCAGAAGATGGTGGGACTGACATTTTCCCCATCCATAATTTACCATTTATATTAGAGTGCAGTGGTAAATTATAAATTATGTCGTTGGGCATGCGGTATTTCCTAGGTAGGAAAGAATTTATACAGAGTAACTAAATCTCGATGCCGAACAACAACAACAAAAAATAGCCATAAAAAGTGCTATCAGATTATTTTACGGAACCAAATTAGATACCAAATGTGCCTGGGAATCAAAGCCAAAGATAATGATCATGGGGTTGGGAACTGAGCACTTCTGTTTTACATAGATGTGCTGTGTCATCAGGGAAAAGCCCTCAAACCTTCCCACCTCCTCACCAGTAAAGGATTCACCAACATATGGGGATGCAAGACACTGAAAAATCCTTTGAAAACCTGGAACCACTATTGCTTTATAAATGACAAGTTGTAAGGGACCTCTGCAGAGGGGAGGCACAGCTCACCTTTTCTTCGATGGGGCATTTTTCTTTGAGCCAGTGATTCAGGACTTCATCTTTGAACGCACCCGTGTTGCCCACTGTGCTTTGCTGGATTTTGGCAATTGTTGTCGCATCTTTCACGATCTCGATCATTCCTACATTGAGGATGAGGAGTTTGATGGAGAAGGGGGCCTAGCGCCTGACCCAGGGCGGGGGCAACTTGTCTTTGTTGAGTAGGGAACAGAGGGGACTTTTTTTTTTTTTGTATCAGGCATTGAACTCAGGGGCACTTGACCACTGAGCCACATCCCCAGCCCTGTTTTGTATTTTATTTAGAGACAGGGTCTCACTGAATTGCTTAGTGCCTCGCTTTTGCTGAGGCTGGCTTTGAACTCTTGATCCTCTTGCCTCAGCCTCCCAATTTTGTGTTTGTTTTTAAGTAAATGAGAGCGTTGTTTTCCAGATCTGTGCTTTTTTTTTTTTTTTTTTAAGAAAGTTGTATGGGATATTCTTGCAATATTCCTCAATGCAAGGGGAAAGGGTTGGTTTTGATCAGCAGTGAGTAAAGGCAGTTATGTGCTGAGAATAACCTACCTCACCCAGTGCTCTGTGCCTTTTCCTTTTTAAATTATAGGGTCAAATGTAAATGGTTTTGCACTGTTCTCATATCAGAAGCTTATATAAAAGTATGTTTGATTGAAACTAAAATATTAAATGTCTATAAAAGTACCTAAGAGTAGAGTGTGTAATAGTTTTAATAATGTGAATTCTGGAATTTAAAAATAAGTGACAGATCTTTCTGTCTAATTTTAAATGTTATTTGTGAGAGAAAAATTTAATGTGTAATGAAATGAGTTAAAGTTTAGAGGTGAAGTAAAGAGAAGGGAACAAGTTCTTACTGAAATCATTTCCATGTACAGTCACAAGGACTTGAATCATGCGTTCATGTATTTTCAACATATCCATATTAAATTGAGAGGCACATTCACCAGCCTGGGAACATTTTCTTCTTCTTTATATGGATTATGATCCTATTTTTTCAGTTATTAAATGCCTACACTAAGGGAACTATGATCTTTTAAAATTAGCTGAGTGGTATATTCATTTCCTGAGGTAATCACATACCTATTTTGTCCCCTGTTGAAATGCAACCATATGGCAGGAGGCACAGATCCAAAGATTCAGTCTCCCAAATGGACTCCATGATTCGTAGAATCTGGGCATCAAAACAGAAGAGTTTCTATTATATATATATATATATATATATATATATATATATATATATACACACACACACACACACACACACACATACACACACACAAGTGTATTTACTTCATATATATTTTTTATCCTTCAAAAAACAGCAGTCTTATCTGGTAACACAAAATATCTAAGTGGATGTAAAATTTTTAAGTAAAAACTACTTTTATTGATCATCTTGGTACTCTCAAATTTCCCCTCATTGCACATCTGTTAATTTCAGTCTGAGATGTACTTTGGATTTCTTCTGGAGTAGGTTTTAGTCATGTTTGATTATCTACCTGCTCAGTATGTTATACTCTGCCATGGATATTTTCCCACCATAACTCTAATATCCTGACACATATCTATTACTCTAATATCCACAAGACACTCAGGCTAGACCTAAATAACGGTAACAACAATGATGATAATAATAGCTAACATTTATTGGGTGGTTTTTTATGTGTGGTTCTTGCATTAACCTCATATTGGGAATATGATTATTATTCCCTTTCTGCAGGCGAAGGAACAAAGACTTAGAGAACTTTCCTTTAGCTGCCAAACTTTTCCTTCAATAATAAACCAAAGGACACAAAAGACAAGGGCAAACTTTCCCTCAAAATGAGAGAAATAACAGACAAATTTTTGTGTTTTTGAATTGCTCATCTTTGAACAATTCAAGAAATCTTACAGATTAATTTGAAATTGAATTAACCTGAAAAAGAATTGAAGGATTTCTTTTTCTTTTCTTTTTAAAAATGTTTCCTGGAGGAGACTAGTAGAGGAAGGGATCAGAGGGAGTGAGGATGGAGGAAATGGGAGATTCTGGAGAATGAAACTGAATAAATTATGTTATGTGCACATATAAATATATCCAATGAAATCCAAGATTGTGTGCAATTATAATGCACCAACAAAATTAATAAAAAAACAATAAAAGGAACTAGAAAAACCACTTCTTGGACAATTCTCATACCATTCTTGACAGAAAGCAAAGCAAGGGTATTATTGTTTCCGTATTAGAAATAAGTAAAAACAGAATCTTAGAACTGAAAACATGACCAGTTCTTAATAGCTTACTTTTAAGTTAATAGGATTTCTCTATTTCAAATAAACCATATTAAATTTTAGAAATTGTTACCTATAAAATGTTGAGCAAATAAAATCCAGGGAATACAACTTTACAGATTTCTGAAGCTAAAGTTGATACAGATATGTCAGAAAATATGAAAATGATCAGCATCGATACCTTGGCCATTCAGCTTTGCCATAATAACACATTCACTTTGTACAATTTCTCATTCCCTGTTCACCTTCTCTCTCCTTCCCATGAAATCATTCTCTTGAGTTTATGTATGTGCATCAGAGAGTGCCTATGAGTGTGTAGATATGTCTATGAATAAACTGGGTGCTGCAGGTTTATGTGGTTACATTTGATGTTACCAAGCTCAGAAGGGGGTTATGAAAAAGAGGCAAGATGAGGGAGGTGTATCTGGTTTCTTGGGAATGTTGGATGTGCATCTTCAAGAAATGGACAGAACAGTGATGTTCATGGGATTGGGTATCTAACATTCCACAGCCATATTCCTCACACTAAAACTATATTATGTAGCTTTTGAACAGTGTTTATCATGTGAAAGAACAGAATAAGGATGAAATTGATAGAAGGCATGTTTTAAATCTAATACAGAATTATTTTTTTCAGATAATTGAAAATGTTTCTTAACATCGGCCTACCTGTAAAATAAGCATGTCTTGGCGCAGATCATCGCCATGTTTGAAGATGATTCCAATTGTTTCATTGGAGAGCGCTGTAGGATCTGCACATTTAAACTCAAGCCACAGGGGCTTTTTCTTGGAGGCCATCACTTTACATTTTTCAATCTGTAAGAAAGCGGTCACATGTTTCCTGCATGCGCTGCATACACATTGTGGAGACACAGATTCTCTGGCAAAGCCTCACTGTAAATAACCAGGACWAAGTCCTAGGTGGAAAATGATTTTCAGTCTTTGGGAAAAATGCAGATGTTCTCACCAAATCTAGAAATGTTTTTTTTTTTTTTTTGAGGGCAAATTCACCACATTTCAACCAATGGTTCTCAAACTGTGTTCCAAGGAAGCTCAAGGGTCTATGGAGATGCTGACGCCATGAGGTGTGACAGATTCTGCCCTGTGCTTCTCCCACAGGACACTGGTACTCCCACATTCCCTTTAACCCAGTGAAACTTCACTATTATCTATTTATGTGTTTGGCCTCCCTCTAAGATTTAGCTTTATAAAAAAGAATTCTAATGCTACTACAGTGTCTAAAAAGCTATTATTGCAGATGCAATAGGCCAAAGATAACAAGATAAAATTTAACAGAAATTAATGGAAAATTGGGCAGTCAAGTACAACACTCCTTTCTCATCCCTCCACCCGACACACTGAAACAAATTTAAGGAAGAGGAAATGTGATTTGGCATCATTCAAAAATAAAAACTAAAACCAAACAACATACAAGTTTTAGCCAAAGGCGAATTCTCCATGGATCAAACAATTTTTATTATATTTTATTCGTTCTTTTTAGCCATACATGACAGTTGAATCCATTTTGATATAACCATACTAGTATGGAATATATCTTATTCTAATTAAGACCCAGTACCTCTTCTTCCTCTTCCCTCTATTGGTCTTTCTGTCATTTACCCATAGTTATTTATTTATTTATTCATTGTTAAATTAATTATTTGTGGATATACATGGTGATGAAATTCACTGATGTGGTCTTTTAAAAGAGCAAACACTTTGAAATCTGTATTAATATATAATAATTCCCACTATAATTCTAAATGGACAGTAGATGATATATGCTTTTTCTATAGGGCCATTTTACTAGTAACTGCATATAAAATTAATCATGTAAGGGAGGAAGGTTTTCCTTTCTTTGCGGTTTAACCATGATAGGAGTTGCTGTCCTGTCACACACAACTATAGGACTAGGCAAAATATATGAAATAACTCTTTTCAGACATTGGTGGCAGGCAGTGGAGGTCTGTGACCCCTGAGAGAAGGAAGACAAATAAAGTGAACCCTTTAATGCAACAGTTGACTGCTCAGGACCCTTTTGAGGCTGGACAACAGAAATAGGCAACCTAGACTGAGTCCATGGGCAAGCAGTCTAGAACATAGCAACAAAGTCTCAGAAAGAGAGGACAGGAAAAATATTAGTTGAAAAAGTACCAAATGTGATAGGCTATCAACCCCCAAGTCAAAGGTTCAATACTCTCTAGGAGACTCAACATAAAGAAGGCACATCAGATTCAATTTTGTGAAAACCAGTGATTAAATAAATCGTAGAAGAAGCCTACAGAAAAATAAAATATATGTTATATAGAGACAGTTAACGATAAGGACAGAGAATTAGTATCAGAAAATATTCAAGCCAGAAGAAAATGAAGAAGAAGAAGAAGAAGAAGAAGAAGAAGAAGAAGAAGAAGAAGAAGAAGAAGAAGTCATTATCAATCTAAAACTCTTCATTTAGTGAAAATATTTTTTTAAAAATGAAGATATAATGAAAAATTTTTAAGATAAACAAATGCTGAGAGAATTTATTAGTAGCAGAACTAGAGTATATAAAATGTTAAAGGTCAAAGGGAAATGATACCAGCTAGAAAGTCTGGGTCTATGCAAAGCAGTGAAGAGTAGCCCAATGGTAATATGGGGGGAAACATTTTAAAATGGCTTAATCTTTTAAATCTATTTTTGTTTAAAGCAAAAATAATAACAATGCATTTGGGGGTTTATAACACTTGTAGAAGTTAACAGCATGACAAAAAAGTACAAAGAATTGGGAGGAGGTTAATAGAAGTGTACCGCTATAAGATTCTACATGTTCACAATGTGGTTTGTTATTTGAATGTAACCAAGGGTGTGTGATGTTGATCTGAGGACAGATATTTAGATTAATGGAAAAGAACAGAGAGCCTGTATGTAGACTTGCACATAATATGGTCAGTTGATTTGTGACTTGAAAGAACTTTTYCCATAATATTTCTTAAAATGTACCTTGATTATTATGGTGGTTATATGGTAGCATATGTTTGTCAAAACTCATCAAATTATACACTTAAAATGCACAAATTTTATTGTACATAAAGGATATCTCAATAAGCTAATCTGAAACAAGATGGAAGGGAAATTACCTGGTTTTGAAGCTTTCAGAAGCTAATGATCATTAGCAGAAGCTCGACCATGGACTCTTCAACTTCCCTGTCTCTATATAAACATCAACTTTTAAGCACTGGACCCTAGAAAGCACTCCAGACATTGAAAGACATATAAACCACACATAGACATCCAAGTGATACCTACCACCAGGGTTCCTGCTTTCAGACCAGGATCATAGGGAACTCTAAAGCTTTTGGGGAGATTAGAATTCTGCAGGGTTTCAAGCTTTTGCTTCAGTTGTGAAATAACTGTAATTGTCAAAAGCACAAAAGAGTTATATGAATTCAAGAAATTACCAATATTATCTACAACATTTCCTGAGGCCATATTTACTTACAGCATTCTATATATTTGTTCTGGGGTGGAGCAGGAGAAGATTGGGTAGAATCCTGCCTTTGAGGAACTAACTACTTGAAGTGGCAAGATAAGTTAGGCTTGCTATGACAATATAACCAGGCACATGTTTCACAGTGGGGGATGGAAATATGTGAACATAAGTGGGATAGCACACAAATGCTGTACAGGATATGGGGAGGAGTTTCTGAGGGTAATGATAAGGACTTAATTCTAGTCTTCTTTCCAGCATGTGAAACTTTGAACTGCCATCTGATTTGGGGAACAGACATTTGAAGACAATATTAAATAGTTAGGTTAAAGTTCTGCAAATTCTTTTCAAAAGAGGAAGTTAAGATGTGTTTAGAAGATGTGATAATCTCAAAAATTTCAAGGCAAAATACATAAATTAAAAATTACTCTATGTACAGCAGATAGAATGGAGGCCAGCACAGACATAAAGTTAATATTATTACTGTTATCATTTTTAGGAGATATCATTATTTGTGTACTGAGAAAGGGTCAAAGGGAAAAAGTATATATTTAAAATATTCAAAAGTTTAAAATGTGATTAGGTACATGAGTAAGTGTCTATCATGAGGCACAGTGCTAGGTCTAGGTGCAGAAAATCAAGAGATATTCCCTACTTTCAAGGTTTATACAGCTTATAGGGTCAGAAAGGTGTATTAATGACCATGATTTAATGTGGTATCAACCTGAACTTATGGGACTACAGACAAGAAGTGGTTAAATTTCTTAGGGCAGGCACAGGACTTCTTAGGGTAGGGATAAGAGGACACTGGAAGTGGATTCATAGAGGAGGGGTCTTGTGTGTGTGTGTATATATATATACACACACAAAGGATTATATATATTTATATATTATTATACATCAATATATGTTACATATTAATATATAATTCATATAACATATTAATATATAACATTATCTATTATTATATACATATATTACTCTGAGATATACATGTATGAAGAAATGTAAAAATATTTAACATAACTCTTCCAGAATTTATTACCTTAAAAGACTGAACATTTAAAAATGACATATACATTGAAGACAGGGAGGAAAAGGTAAAGATTTGAAAATAACTACTCTTTTATTTTGTGTGTGAAAGTGTTCTTCAAAATTATACCTGACACTACATAATGATTTTTAATTTTTTTCAAAGAGTTTAATGTTTGTTATCATAGCTTTATTATTAACAATATATGTTTAGTTTTTAAAAGTCATTAACTTATAAAAGGAGAACTTGAAATTACTTACTCCACGCAGACAAGAGAATAAAAAAAATGTGTTCTTGGCTGCCTTTAGGAAACTAAAACTTGGCTTCCCCAAAGAAGAATCATAATGATTCTGGCATTTGGAGATGAAGGCATTTGGAAAGAGAACCAGGAAAATACAGCCGCTCTACCTTGGGAACTGACGTCATACTTCTCAGCAGAGAGTGACTTAATATCAATGGTGACTTTTTGCAACATCTCGATGACTTGGACCTGCTGGGTAAAGTCCTGCAGCATGGCTGTGCCACAGCCCCTCAGATAGGCTTCCAGGATCACGGCGAATCTCTGCTGATAGTGCCTGGACTGAGCGATCTCACTTCTCAAGAACCAAAACAAGAAGTGACCGATTCTTTTGTTCTGAGGTGGGTACAAGAAGGTCGAAATTATTATGACTAATGCTCTAGGTCTGTCGGTCAATTCTCAGTGACCTAAAATGTCACGCCATTATCAAGGTGGAAGTACTTACCCTTAAGCCACGCTTCAGCAGAAATCTTGCCAGGGCACTGTCATGGTATGGTTCAAATTTGACGGCCTGAAGGAAGAACACGTTGGCATTAGTAGGACTGTATTCTATGTTGGTAGGTCAGGAAAAGGGAAATGGAGAAAAACTGGCAATGTGCTTGAGTGGGTCTTTATGGCTAGGGAGATGAGAATCCAATGAGTCACTTGAATCCATTCTTCCAGAAGACTCTTTGGACCAGAATGAACCACTTCCTTAGGATCACAGAGTAGTACCAGAAGTGGGATTAGAGGCCAGATGTCTTAGCTCAGAGTCACATGCTTTTAGTAATTTCAGAAGTGGAGAGGCAGGGGCATTGGCTCCATTAGGGGCTGACCTGATTTATAGGTGGACAGAGAGGAAAGATGGAGATGGCTAGAACAAACCCATGAAATAGAAGAAAGGAGACTTGTTACATGAAGAGGACAGTGGCGATTAGTGCATTTAAGGAGAAGAATGTTCTTTAGAAGTGAAGATCCTAAAAACCCTAGAGCTTTCTTTTCAGCATCTCATGGCAAATCATTGAGCTGTCTCACAGGTTCTCATTGCAAGTATACAGCAGGTCTAGATCAATCCAGAACAGTCACTACCTGCTGCCACGCTGTGTATATAGAGAGCTTTTACTTTTTCTTTTTTCCCCAGAAAAATCCCTGCTTTTATGTGCTTCCTCAGGTAGAGCTTGCTTTTCATCTCTATTTTTCGTGTTGTTGGTTGATTTTTATTTCTTTTGCCATGTTGGAGATCATGCATGCTAGATCATGCATGCTAGCAAGCATTCACTGAGCTACACCCCAACCCCTAATGTAGAGAATATTGATTAAGTGATAGCTCTAATTGCTGAAGAAAAAAGAAAAAAACAATAAAATGAAAAAAAATTAAATCTCAATGAGTACAGTGCCTCACACATGCCAGAGCTCTTTACCACTGAGCCACAACCCCAGCCCTCCCATAAATATTTATAGTGACAGTTTGGAGTCTAAATGTTTGTTAAATTATTTTCTCTACTTCTTTATAGGTTTAAAATGGTTCATAATTTTTTAAACTAACAAGCATAACTGCATATATAAAATTAGAAGGTATATCTTAGGTGTAAAACTGAAGGAGTTTTAAATTGAATATATCAGAGTGTTTCTTTTCCAAATACAAACAGTCTGTTTTTTTTTTTCCCCCTAAGGAACAGGAAGAAATTCCCATTCTAGTTAATATTTTGGTGCCTGGAGTTTTCTTAGTAAGATTCATAATTCTTACTCTGGTTTTGCAATTTGGAAATGATAAATACTAACCATAATGTTTCAATTATAACCCTTGCTTTCGAAAATGTTCATGGGTGTGGTCAAATAGGTACCATGATAGCTGTATCTAAGTAAGACCTTAATTCTGAGAATGTGGTTATTTAGCCACTAGTACTTACTTTAAATACATTTTAAGTTTCTAAACTGAACGTGAGTCTTTCTGACCTTTGTGTTTCACTTCTGTAAAGTCAGCTAGGAGACCATTTTAATTAGGAATGAGTCATTTAGTCTTATGTGAAAATGTCTCAAATAGTTTTACAAATGACTACTCTTTTTCAAATTTAAGACCACAAATTCAATGTTAATATAACTTATTGACCTTTTTCATTTAAAATGTTTCCAAGGAGAACATTATTTATCCTCTAATTTGGGAAGGTTTACTTATAAAAATGACAATGAAAAATAATTCATAGTAGCCTAGGGATTTAGAATACTGGATATACAAATTTGTTTGATGTTAGTTTTGTCATGGAGAGCCAGAACATTGAGGCTCCTTCAATTATTCTAAAATTCTCTACTGTTATGCCAGTATCTGAACTAGTGGGCAGAAAAAAAATAGTGGCCATATTTAATAGATGAAAGAGCCAAACGTAACGTTTCAAGTATCTGATGAGGGGAAGGTGAAGGTTCAAAGTTGAGAATATCCAAAGTGTTTATCAGAAAATTCTAGGGACTTCCCACAAATATTTTTAAAAACAATTTTTTTTAGTTGTAGATGGACACAATACCTTTATTTTACTTATATATTTTTATGTGGTGCTAAGGATTGAACCCAGTGCCTCACACATGCCAGAGCTCTTTACCCCTGAGCCACAACCCCAGCCCTCCCATAAATATTTATAGTGACAGTTTGGAGTCTAAAATTTAGCCTGACTTATCCTAAAGATTCTTGGGGCAAATATCACTCCCGACTATGTATGCCTAGACTCCTCAGTCGAAATTAAGAATCCCTGACCCCCTTTTTTCTCATAACACTCTGTTGTTTTTCCTTGACACAATCTGTTATTAAACATGTTTGTGTATGTACTCATTTAATGTCAGTCTTCTAGTATGGGTTGTTGAATTAATGAATGGACATGTCTGGGCTCTAAAATGACATTTATATTCCAATTCCTTTATTTTCTTATCTTTTCAAACATTACAACATAATTTGAGAACTGCTAGAGTGAGCAGGAGAACTGCTGCTCCTTAAGTCTTTAACTTCCTAGCTAAACCTCAGGGACATCACTGAGCCTCTCAGGGCCCCAGGGGACATCATGAGAACTGGAGTGGAAACATAGCCCTGGACCTGTCTAAGGAGAGGAGCTTTCAAGACTCTACCCAGCTATGAGCTGTTATTCTATGAACTGAAGTACTCATGGGGTGGGGTGGGGCGGAGAAGATCTCTTTTAGCTCACTCTTTGCGGGCAGTGGAAAGGGCAAGGCTGGAAATCAGACCTCCTACATTTGAATTCTGGTCTGCTTCTTTCAAAGTATGTGATCTTGGATTGCTTAGCCTCTTTGTTCCCTAATTTCTTTATGTATAAAATGCAAATACTAATTTGACCACTATCATAGTCTTTGGGAGAGTTAAATGAGATAACACACAAAAAGCATGTAAATCACTTGGAAACTTGACATAAGAAAGCATTCAATAAGTTGAATCTATCCTTAAAATAATAAATGAGAATAAAATATTTCCATGGGACCAATTTTCCTACAAAACAAAACATCATACTGATGTCTTTAAAATGCTTGTCAGCAAACCCTTAAAGACAGTAAAATAGTAAATGGAAGTGTTTCCTTCTTTTTGAGGTGGCTTCATTAGAGCTGTTTTGACCAATCATGAAGTTCAGAACAAAGGGTATCTGATAACAACTAAATGGGGTGCCTGTGTACATGCAAATAAATTCCTGAGGACAGTTCCCTTGATAAAGCCAACATCCCCTACCTGCACCAGCTGCAGCAGATAATGCAAAACATCATCGTCCTCCAAGCTCTCCAGTTTCTGAACTGCAATGGCTCTGACATTTTCATCTGAAAAGTTGCAGTCCAGGAGCTGCATTGTTAACCCAACATCCAAAGCACTTTGATCCCAGACCTCCCTTCTGGCTAACAGTTGGTATGTTTTGGCCACAATTTCTTGCTGTCCCCATTTCACTGAGCTAAATAGCTTAGGATATGCTTTGGGATGCTTCAGGCTTTCATATCTAAAATGCCAGAGCAATTCTTTGTCCTCTGCTGTGAGAGGATTAAGTGGATCAGTGGCTATGATTGCCTCTAGTTGCTTTCGAAGCTGGTTGGGCATTTCAGCTCGAACTCGGTCACCTTCGGGGTCAGGAGTGGGCCGATGCTTAGGCAGGGCTATTGGGTGACAGTAATTGTCCAGAAGAATGGAGATGGACATTGAGTTCTCTTTGTCTGGGTTGGTGGCGGACGTGAGCTTGTCCGCATTAAAGCTCCCTTGGTCTTCTCCCTTCCCAGATATCTGCCACATGTGGAGCACATATTCCCCATGGCGCAGGAGGAACCTGTGGTCTATCAGTAGCAGGTTTACATAGTAAAGAAGCTGAGCTTTGCCCTTGGACTCTGAGCTGGGAGTCTCTGCAGAGGCTTTGCCTGACAGTGCAGGAGCTTTGCCACAGAATATCTGGAGGTTCAGTAGAGCCCCTTTGGGCAAGTCTTTGATTTTGATACTGAACTCGAGCCATACATTCCAGAGCACCTCCTCTGTGAAGGGTTTGGGGCTGGTTCTTCTTTGGCAAAGAACTTGCTGCCCATGCTGGATGTTTGCTTCCACAAAAACTGTGAGGTCTGCATTTCGGGGTAGGACAGGAATATCAATGCCTCTGATCTTGACCCTGAACTTCCTGTCACAGTCCCACAGGGATACAGTAAACACACTCTCATGATCTTTGCCATGGATGGTCAGCTGCTCATGGTAGCCGGTGACTCCGGTGCAGTCATCTACCAGTGGCCACTCTTCTTTCCTCACCTCATCCAGGGCTGGGTCCGGAGGCCTGTCCAGCACTAGGTGAATCTCTTCTCCATTCTTAAGGCAGTGCCTAACCCATTGGAAGTTTTTGATGGGTGTTTCACCAACCAGGTACTCATCCCGGCCACAGACACGCAGCACAAAATCCTGCTCATTTTGGCTTTCGGGGATGTCCATCAGTGACTTCTTTTTGGCCATCTTGGTGAAGAAACTCTGGAGGATGGCACCTGGGGTGTCATCAGCTGAGACCTTGATGGTCTGGCTGGTCGTGCTGCGATGGATGACAATGAAGATGCAGTTGTTGGTAATCTTCTTTGACAGGTACTCAGGGAGGGGCTTGGATGTCACCCAGGGGTGCATGGCGTAGAGCCTGGCATCGCGACTTGCCACCTCTGCCATGCGAGGTGTGACCAGGCGGCGGCGTGTGAACTCCAGCTCGTCGTCATGCACGTTACTGATGTCAGTGACGTCGTAGCCGATGAGGGCGGTGAGCTGCTGCTGGAAGGCCAGGGTCTCCTCGGAGGGCGCATGCCGCTGTACTACGTGGATCTGACCTGGGCTCTTATTCAGCATCTTCCAGTACCGCAGGCAGTCCAGGGTCTGCACCACCTGGTACTTGTCATAGATCTCGTACCACTGTCCCTTCTTCTGGTAGAGCAAGATGAAGTGGTCCGGACCCAACCGGTGGTAGAAGTCGGCGGCCACACTAGTCTCCATTGAGCGCAGCCACACCTGGGCTTTCATCTGCTCCACGTTGCCGTGCCCCGCCACGTGCAGCAGCGCCGTTTCGGGAATCTTGGTGTCCCGCTGGCTGGTGGGCAGCACGAACTCAATGGGGATGAGCTCCATGGAGGACAGGCTGGCCGCCACACTGCGTGGCTTCATTCTCCGACGCCGGCGGAGGTTGTCCTCTCTCAGAATCACCGGCTGCTCACAGTTCTCCAGCTCCATGCCCTACACAGTCTGGGAGCAGAGAAACAGAGGCCTTGGTCACAAGAGACGCTTTTCCCTCTCCGTTTCCTACAAGACGGTAGAAGAGAAGGTGTAGCAGATTGACGTGCACCCGAGGACCCAGAGGGACGGTGGACTTCAAGTTGGATGCAGCACAGCTTTTAAGAGCTTGGGCCTGCGAGTTAAGGCCTATGTATCTTGGCCCGGCCACTATCTATTTAAGTGACTTGGACTATTTAATTTCTGAGCCCTTTTCTAATCTGTCAGATTGGTTGGTAATACCTCAGAGGGTGGAGGTGAAAGTTACATAAGGTGGTATACATTTTTGTATGGACAGTGGGCCTATGGGAATTCATCAATCATTTTCTCTACTTTTGGACGTATTTGAATTTTTTTTTAATTAAAAAAGAAATAATCCAAAGAATCATCTAGTACAGTGTCTGACTTAATAGCTCAAAATGGTAATTTTTGTATTCAAACATACAGATAAATCAAATAATACAGTTAAGGATCAAGTTCTAGTTTGCAAGGTGCAACTGAAACATCTCACTTTAAAAACAAGCCCTAAACTTTTTCCTTTGTTCAGTCTCACACTTCTCCTCTAACCCAGACACCTTACCCAACCTCACTTCATGTTCTCTATTTTCAAACTGTCTGGACCTGCTACTCCCTAGTCAACTTCCTGTCTTTCTTTTTTTCTTTTCTTTTTTTTTCTTACCTCTCCTCTAAGAATGGTAGTCATTTCATTCATAAAATTCAAAAATACCAGAAATAGTAAGTTGCAATCAAGACCATTTAAAGGTATGTAAAATTTTGAATCACGAAATGTGTAAGTGTTCTAGCCATCAGCCCTTTTAGATTAAATTGCCTAATTTAAACATCTAACAGAAACATCCTAATATAAACATCTAGGCTCTTGATAGTGGAGGGACCCCAGAATGGGAGGCAAAATTTCTGGACTCCAGTAACCTACTATTTTGACCCTAAATGATTACTTAACTTTTTTTTTTTTGCTCTAATCTTTCTATTCATATGTCAAGAATTCACAAATATACTCCCAGTAAATTATCCATTTTCAATAAGCATCTAATGGAAACTTCCTCTTGACAAAGCATTTAAATATAAATATGACATACCATAGTAAGAAACCTCCTAATATTTGAAATTCTGTAAGTATTAAAATTGAAAGAGGAATAATTAGGTATTTTAATATTTAATATCACTACCTTGTAATACATTATATTCTAAATAAGACTCACTCTTGAAATAAAAAAAACAGTTTCTCAGAAAATATCCTTCACTCTTAAATAACTAATATTAATGAGACTCATGACAATTTATTCCCTTAAGAAATAGTAGGGGAATTGATATATACCAAAAAGGTGGTATATGTTTTTGATTAAAAGCTAAGAGAGTTTCATTAGATCTTAAATTATGTTAACTTAAGTTAACTTGGCTTAACTTATTTTTAAAGTCAATATTCCCTGCCTTAAAATATAATGAAGTTAGACTTAGTAAATGAAATCAATACAGCCCCAAGGAACTCTCTCTTGTAACTTAAAACACCCATTTTGAACTTTTGCTACATTATAGAATAAGAAACAAAGAAGAGAATTGTAAGGTAGACTGCTATTGACACTAACTTGAAATGAAACTGTCCAAATTAGGCAGCATACAAATATATGGCCATATCTACTTCAGTGATACCAAACAGGCTGAGCAAATACTCACTGGATTTCTTCATGGTTCAGGCTATGAAGTTTTCTTCTCTTATAAAAAGACGTTAGAAACACCATAAGTTCAGTAATTTCTACATGCATTTGTAAGAATATGAAGCCTGGTTGGCAGAGGCTCCCAGGCCCTCCCTCTTCCTCCCAAACAAAAACAAAAAAGAATCCATGCACCTGCAAACTATTGCCGGAACCTTGTGGATATCCACAGTCTAGGTTAGACCAGACAATGAAACTCGGACATTCAGTGGTAGGATCATCTGAAGAACCGACAACAGTTCCAGATAAAAATATTCTAGCTGAGAAGGAAGTGTCTCTATTTTGAGTCAGACCCAACAGAAAGCAAAAAAAAAATAGAAGGAAGCAATACCTGATAGAGCAGCGGAGGCGATGATGCTGAAGGATCATTTGTTTAATTTTTGAAAACAAAACAAATTCAAACCTACCCAGTGTGCCTCTCAACTCTTCCGCTTTTCTGGGGCTCCCTTCATATCCAGATGCAGAGGAAGTGTTGCAGTTACCAGGAAGGAAGTTTTAACCAAGTTGATTATAAGTGTGATTGCTCATTTTAAAAGTGTCAGAAATGCATTTCCTGCTATAGCACAGAGACAGCAAGGGAGAGAGACCGAGCGAGTGCGTGCATGAGCTGGAGAGTGAGCAGCGTCTGCCTTATTTTCTTTTTACTCTGAATTAATTTTTCAAAAATTGTGACAGACTGAGATGAATTAAAATTATAGAGATCTAAATAAAAAATATACATGAGACACAAATAAATGAAATATTTTTGTGACTAGTTTAGAAGTAGACGAAAAGGCCTCACAGCTGCAATCATAGATAACTTGTTGGGGAGAATTGAAAGAACTGAATTAGACCTGTTACTCTTATGGAAATTCACATAAACTCTGGTTCATGAGACATAACTGAGGGATAGGGGAAGAGAAACCTAGTGATCTAGAGGACTGAGTTATCAAGCTGGGCGTTTTCAAAGGCAGTGTCTGGGAGCTCACTTCCTCAGTGTGGTGAGAGATTTCTCTATTTTTTTTTTTTTTCAGAGAATTTAGAGCCCAAAATATCATGGGCTCAAACTGAAAGTCCTGCAGTGTGTGTGTGTGTGTGTGTGTGTGTGTGTGTGTGTGTGTGTGTTGGTGTAGGTTGAGGGTGGAAGCTTACTGTGAGCAATGGTTGCCTGACTGAAGACAAAATAGGAGGTTTCTTGGTATCCTTGGGAAACAGGGGAGCTGAAGACTACCATAGAGGAAGGCTGGTAGTCAGTGGGAGATGGCTTTTGGTTCCCGTGGGAATGCAGAACACACAGAAGAGTCCTCCTAAGTCAATTTTTAGAGCAATTCTATATCCTCCAGATTAACTCAATTTCTTCAAGGACCCCCATGCCCACTTGGATCCTGAATGAGGAGTGCTCCTTCCTGTACATCCCAGGGTTCTAAAGTTTATCCTCCAAGTTGGGCTTTCGTGGACTATAGTTGGGCTTTAGAAATAACTAGAAGAATGGAGTTGGCCTCCTAAGTCTCTTGGAAGTATATAATTAAGAGTTCCTTCAATTACTCAGCTATCAAGATAATTGATTGTTTGACCTGTTCCGTGTCTTTTCACATAGAACCCCTGAGATCTTTACTTTTTGATAATACTCCAATAATTGACATCACTAGGTGAAACACTTAATTCAAAGGTTGCCTCCCAAATATTTAGAGGGGGCTTAGCAGCTTCTCAAAGTATATTCCTATATAAGAATATTCCCTTAGGAGCCTGACAGCTTTAGAAAGCTCAAGACTTTTTTTTTTTTTAATTTGGTTTGAGGGAAAACCACCACACTCTTGTCATCAAGTCACAATGTAAAAGCTTGCCCAGCTGTGTTTCACTGAGTGTGGGACAGTTCATGGGAGTCTGTAAAGTGGAAGGTGAGTTTTGGATAGGAGGGTTAACCTCAGAAGGACCATGCGGTTGGCCAATTCTGCCCCCACACCATTTTTTCCCTGGCCTGCTGACACTAAACACACACCACACACACACACACACACACACACACACACACACACACACACACACGTGTCTTTTCCCAGACATGCTAGACTCAAGCTCCTGGGTCTCCTTGCTTCTGAAGGAACTATTTGGTTAAATTCAGTTATGCAACTTTGTTGGTGGTTTGAAATTAAAAGTACCCTGATCTTCCCCCAATCCTGATACAGCCACCAAAATTTGACTATACGTAGTGAGAGTTCCCAGGGAGAAGTAAAGGTCAATGTCTCCATCTGGTATGTGGGTATTTACATCATGCCAGGGTTATCTTCATTAATAAGAATATTTTATTCCCAGAGTTTTTAGGTTAGAAGACCCCCTAGGCCTCATCATTGTTTTGTTTACTAATATGTTTCTTATTTTTCCCTTCTGTGAATCTCCATGAATCTAGCACGGTATTTTACATATGGTAGACATGTTAAGTTATTTTGGTTAAAAAAAGTAGAGTCTGACCTTTTATATCACATTCAACCATCATACAAATGACAAGATGGAACACATTAGAAAACAAAAGTGTGATAGGAAGTGTCCATGATAGAGAAAAAGAGAAAGAATTAGTTGTTTGTGCAGTTGGGCATGGGGTCACATGCCTGTAATTCTGGGAGCCAGGGAGAAAGATGATATATTTCAGGATAGCCTCAGCAACTTAACCTTAGCCAGGCCTTAATAATTTAGGAAGACTCTGTCTCCAAAAAATAAGATATAAAACATAAAAAATAAAAAAAAAGAAGCCTGGGGATGTAGCCCAGCAGTAAAGTACTCCTAGGTTTAATCCCCAATATCCCCTCAAAAGAGAATTAGCTATTTGCTATGAGGAAGGCTCTTTGCAGTGACCTTCAGAGAGATTATTTATGGTCTAATTAGAGAAACAAAACACGCAGATGCATTTCTTTTCATCATGCAGTTGAAAAAACTGTGTGCCGTGTGATAGTACATATAGTCCCGGTGGTTTAACTATATTACATAACTGTCATTATGCAATCCAAAAGTTTATTGGAGGAAGTAACTTCTGGTGGGATTTTTAAAGTTCTATTTTAAATATGGAGGGGAAAGCCCAGGATTCAAGGCAAAAGTAATCACAAGGCAAGTCAATACCCTTGTACTCCAGGCCAAAAGATATTTGGGGATAGTAAACAGATTAGTTGACTGAAATGGACAGTTTGTGGAAAAGAGCAGAGGGGGCTATGGGGAAAGTATATGCTTTCCAGACTTATCTCTTGGCACATTAAAGGGTAACAACATGAGTTGGCACAATGGGGCAAACTGAAGAGGCTCCTCCAAGCATGCAGTAATGCCTGTACCCCCAAAGGCTCCCCAAACCCTTGGAGCACATTGATTGCAAAGATCTTTAACTGATCATTGTTCCTGAGTGGAATAGCTGTCTGACTTAGTCATGTGAGTACCTCTCAGCTTGAAAAAGCACTAGATCCATCTTTTCACATTCTTTAGCAGGTTGTTTATAAGTAAACAAAAATGAAAAAAGGCATTTTAATCTAATACAGTTTAGTTCACATTCATGCCTTGCTTTGTTGTCTGGGCACCAAAAGAAACCTTTTTAAAGCTGTGTATCATATTTTCTGGCCTGGATTTGATAAGATCAAAGAGAAGCATCTGGTATTATAGAAGCACCAGCATCATTCATCTTTAGGTGTAACATGTGCCAGTTCATCTCTTTCAGCTTCCTCATCTACCAAAAGGATAACAACCACCCTACTTATCTCCTAGGAAGTTGCTATAAAGCTTCAGTTTTCAACGGAACAAAAACTTATCTAGCTGTACTATGAAAGATATTGTGTAGATGCTCTAGAGGACGTGCAATTCTGGGTGTCACACATCAACCCAACATACAGAGGAAGAAGAGGCCACGTCATCTTGTGTGCTTTTTTTCAGAGAAAGAAAACTTTTCCCAGAAGCCTCCTGGCTTCCATTATGGCTCTGGCTAGAATTGTGGCAAGTGCCCATCCATACCTCAGTCAATCAATGGGAAAGTGGATAGAATGATGAGATTGGTCTTAGCTACTCAGAATGTACCCCCTGCATTCTCAGCTGGCCAGGGAATGTTATATACCAGAACAGAACGTCAGGGCTCTGACAGTAAGAACAAAGGCAGCCTTGGAGACCACTGGGGAGGCAGGTTATTAGCCTGTGGGTAGAGAGGAGCACTGCAAATTCTGAGAAAAGAGGCTACAGGAAATCAGTCATTGTCAACACAACCGCAGGAATCTATAGCCAGGTCCAGGTGCCTATGGAACATTCCACTTCATTTTCCGTTCTTATTAGCGGACTCTGGCCATTCACTACACTTTTCTTAGATTTCTCTATTCAGTTAAATTTTGCTAACATAGAAATTTCCAGAAATGTTTTTTTTTTCCTGTAGATTGACTTTTAAAAATCCAATTCCTTATGTACGTTGGAYCCTTTATGGCCTATTCTGCTTCATCTTTCAAATCACCTCCACAATGGAATGAAACTGATCTCACTCTTGCTGGGCTCCTCTGCATTAGGTGCCTCTGTGTGCTGCTCCCTCTGTCCCCTTCCCCCCATTCTTCATTCTCCTCTACCTTTCTTTCTCTACTCCCCTCAGCCATTTAGTCAACTCCTGCTTTTTCAATACTCAGATTGAGTAACCTCCTCTAGGAGAGCTTTCTGGGCTGGGAAAGCACAGGGTCAGGACCACAATAATAACAATCGTGTCACCACCACAAGCACAAACTCTTTTATGGCTCTTTCTATGGGTCTTGCATAGTTCTGAGCACTTTAAAACTTATTCATTTAATTCTCATATCATCTCAAGGAGAGGATATTACAGTGATCCTCATTTGCAGACTGAAGCATGGCACAGAGAGGTTTCGTGGCTGTCCTGGGTCCCACAGCTTGTCAGTGGCAGTTGTCATCATAATGCTCCTCCTAGGGTTGAACAGCTGTGTACTGGGCTGCCTCCTACACCAGTCACTTGAGGGGCTCTGCGCATATGAAGATAGGGACTTGATAGGTCACTTATATAGAATGTCTCCTTTTTTTGAAAATCTTTGCATTTACAGGAATATTGAGTGATATTCCCAAAGTTGTCCAGACCAACCAAGATCCAGACAGAGCCCTTCCCTTCTATCTAACCACCTGACCTAAAGCCCTGCAATCTCCCTCATTTCCAATCATCAGAACGGGGAACTTGGGAAGAATCCCACTTTGACTAACCTAAGGACTTGCCTGCCCTTTATTGCCCTTCTATTGATCCAATCTATTAGTTGTCCTCAGGTTCTCTTATTAATATTGACTGAAATTTAGGACCAAAGGGTGCCGGTACCATGTCCTAGTGAGCAAGAACTTCTGCTTTATAGCGACTTCTCCAGACCCATTTCTGGGGCCCTGGTTCGAGTTATCTGCAGACTGCCAAGGGTTTTTATGTATCTGCTCACACACTTACACAGCCACCTACCTACCTGCCTCGACCTCCTTTCCCATGCTGCCAGAGAGGAAGCAGTCAG